CTGGTGCACTCTGGAGAATCAACGTCATCATTGCTGCACTGCATGACTTCGACGTGACCACAAACATCAGCGGGAACAACCTCAGAGAGGTCATTTTCGTTCACGTGCTCTTCGTCAGTAATGTTGCCATCTTCGTCAGGTGGCAACTGGCATATAGATGCATCTTCGCGTTCTTCATCGGAAGGGCTGAACAAAAGCTCAACCGCAGCCTCCAAAGTAAGGAAGCGTTGAGCCATGTCCTAAGAAGAGAATTATTGCACGGTAAGGAAGTGTGCCACCACAAAAAAGGAAGCCATAAGGTTGTTCTCTACTTACATTGACAAGTGGTGAGATTGCCAGGTACTGCACGTGGACGCCGCGGCTCACTCGTGCTGAACAATCTCAAAAGAAGGGCAAGGAAAGCTGCCTAACAAGTTTTTGCCAACCGCCGCACAGGGGGTGCTACCAACAAGACTAAAAACTATGCCGAAGTGCAGGCTCCAGTTTACGTTGCATTTTGCTACTGCCAAATGCCAATGTTCCAAAAGCGGAACGTTTGCAAAAAACTCAATGCCAGTGAAAGACGGACTAGCTTTGGTTATTCATTTTTTTATCACATAATCGCCAATGATTTCCCTTTATTCTAAATCTGCTTTGTTCATTTGAACGCCATTTGTTCTTGCGAAAAGACGCAACCCTCAATTGCTTGTGAAAAAACCCAAAATGCGCCATTTTACAAACACTGATTCAAAGTTTTTAAAATGACAAATAGTAGAAGCTAAAATTGCGGTGTTTTCTACAGTCATTGAACAGTATGCGAAAACAAAAATTAAAAACAAAGGTATATTCCAAAAGAGAACAAAAAATCGAGTTTCACACGTTCCAATTTTGGAACATTGGCAAGTAAAAGGTTAATTGATATCTGCCACTGCTAAAAAACCCACTGCATATTTTTAAGGCACAATTATCACGCTGTTCGAACCCAATGTATTTAGAAATTAATTTGAAGCGAATCAAATAGTTAATTGTGTTTCAGTTTTTTGTATATATGGGGAGAGAGATTACATAGTTATGATTGCGCTTTTAATCAAACACCTTTATTTCGAAGTATTTGGTATATGTGTTTTGATACTAATTTGGAATTATTTTGTCCACCTCTCAAAGGATACCATTTGAAATAGAAACAGTAAGCTTTCTTTTTGACAAACGGTGTCGGTACAGGCTTGCTCTGAAAAAAGAATAATCGATTGGTCGAAGCTACACTCTAAGAAAAAAAAGGGTGTAGTCGGGTGCATCAGGCGCTCATGCACCCTTTTCCTGAAAGACGCACCCTCCGTTGCCCAGCCAGTGTGCTTGTACACCGGCAATGAGCATCCCCCTCTCCCTTAAAAACCTCTAGGTGTACCAATGCACCGCCACGCTAGCCACGCGCCCCGATCAGCTTGTGCTTGGATTCCCCCATGGGGGTCACTCTTTGGGATGGGCAGTTTCTTAGGAAGTATGGAGCTATCGTGTTCCCTCGGTATTGACAGTAGAGTGGACGCTATGCTTGTTTTAGGCCAATCGGGTCTCCGGGTAAACTCACGTGACTACAGTCTCCAAGCTAGAGATAAGGCAGAGCACGGCACCAGCCTCAAGGCCAAGGCCACGGATAGCATCCACTGCACTATTAACTTTGGGTCGAACTTTTAAGAGGATATAAGCGACAAATCCTTTCATTGTTGGGTTGCCCCTGAAGATAAGCCTTTGCGAGGGTGGCCCCTTTTGGCCTTGAAGGAGCTGCAATTTTCATACTTTTTTTTTCTTTCTCTCTCTTCGCTGAAAGCATGGAAGAAGGCGCGCAGTTGCCGGACCAATGAACCGAAGGCTTTTTTTATCCTTCGACTCCTCTGTCTGAGCGCGGATACGGCAGGAGCGTGATCATGTGGTAAAGGTTTCACGGATGACGTAGTAGCTTTTTTCGACCTCGGAATGTCTGCTTCCCGGCCTAGTTGCTTGTGTGCTGTGCTGCGACCAGCGGGGCTGCCGTAGATTTCGCCCGCGACAACGTATTCGAGTGTACCAAGATTTTCAGTGTTTGAAAAGTCCTACGCGTGTATCGGCAACAGGGGATTTCTTCAAAAAAGCCCAAGGAAGTTATGTGATGTGTTTAGTGTTCGGTTCGGCAAATTACTGCTTCGGCCACATCGTGTTGAATCTTCACGGACCCCTTTCTTTTCGTTTTTGTGTTTGTGTGGTTCTGCAGTGCCCGTGATCATCGTAAGTGCACTGCAACCTACTCCTTTGCAACAACTGACCGCCCCGTTCCGGATTACCTCTAGAATTAAGCCGTGTCTATTTTCTATCAACCGGGAGAGTAATTTTCCAGAAATTCTATCGGCAGTCGCCTGCCATTAGCTGTATACAATCATGTGACAACTGCAGGTGGAATACTGACTTTCTTATTCTCCTGGCGTTTTGTGAAAACATGTTTTTGTCGATACACGTTTTGTAGACATGTTTCATCGACACTAACGTTTCATCGTCACTCGTTACGCAAATTGCACGCTGTAGGGACATTTTGTCGCGCGTGTGTCTCTGAGGCGCGTGTTCACCGACCCAGCCGACCCGTTTGCGCCGCTTCGTGGCGACAGTCTGCGGCGGCTCATTACAAAAAAGGTTAGCCCACCTGTCCTATACCTATACACGTCACTTCGCGGATACATTGTGGGGCGGCTCATTACAAGAAAAGAAGGGAGAGAAGCTAATATAGAAAAGCTAATCTGAGCTGTCGATGAAACGTCGTTCGATGAATTAACGGCGACTGCCGGTGGATATTTGTGGAAATAAATCTACGGGCTGCTGGCAGAATGGACACTACCTAAGACTCACCCCCGGTTCTTGTTTGCTTAGTAATCTTTTCAGTTGTGTAAAATCTTCTTTGTACGTCTTCAGATATCACGGATTGCTTGCAAGTTTGTACTTGTTTACGGGATAGGCTGTCTAATAAACTTGTATGAGATTTGAAAACAATACCGTGTGTCCGTTTACCTGCCTTTTTGCAATCACCGGGGCGCATACATTTTTTACTGTTTTCCTTGATGTCTTAAATAGGTTTATGAAGTTATGAAACGGGTGCATAAAGTGGTGTAACCATGCACCTTTGAATCGGGTGCATCTGTGTTCTCTTCGAATTCAGCGAGTGTAGAAAGAGGTGTAACAGTACACTATTGAACGGGGTGCTCCTGTGTTCCCTTTGAGAGCAGTAGGTGTAGAAAGGTGAGTAATGGTACAATATTGAGCAGAGCTGGCAGTAATGTAATTACTGTAATGAAATTACAGTAATTTAATTACTTGTTCCAGTAATTAGTAATGTAATTCATTACTTTTTGTAGTAGGTAATTTAGTAATGTAATGAATTACTCCAGCGACGGTAATTGTAATTAAATTACCTAATTACTTTTCGTACCAGGCATATTTTTTGTGTCCACAATACACAAGAGCGCTTTTCTTTTTATTTTACTTTTTCCTCTACACTTTTCCAAAAAACGCTCTTTGGCCGCCGCTATGTTGCTGATGCTAATGCCGCTGGTGCGACTCTCGCGCCCGCTATCAGCTAGACATTTTCTGCCACTCTCTTGAACTGTGAAAACTCGCTCAGCGCGATTCTCTACCTATGTTTTGCGGTTTTGCATTTGACGTTTTCTGGCCCCTCTTAAACGTTTCCGCTTACTTTTTCTGATACATGCTGCGTACCCTGTCTGTGCTATCTTCCACTGTGAGAAATAGGGCTGGTAAGTTTCTGCCATTCGAGCTTCTCTGCTCGACATTCTCGGGAAACGAAAGAGGGGAAGTAGGTCGAACTAAGGCCCCTGGTGGAACGGCCCTCGACGCGATTTCGCGAACAATGACAATTGTTCTCCCCCCTCCCAGAGATAATCCATATAGGAGTCATCTCCAAAAATAGTTGTGCGGGTTGGGGTGGGAAACGGATCAGTCGCGTGCGTTCCTCTGTCCATCGGTAAACATGTTATTTGTGAGCATGAAAAATGCATGCCTTTCGGCTATCTTCTGTTGTAAATTATTTTCGACAGCTAAACGCTTTGTCGTTTGACTCGCGGCTAATCGAACGGCGCCGTAAAAACTTACCGTAAAAAAAAGAAAACAACTAACATTCCAGTCGCATTCGTTCTGTCACGCGCGTACCCAACAAAAATAGTTTACTGATTTTTTTTCAAATGTAGTACAATCCTTCTCAATGTCCTCGGGAAAATACATGCACCATGAAACACAAAATGCAGTGGGAAAACACGAGAATTTAGCCGCCAGCAGTGTTTGAAACTGCGCCTGTGTAGGCGCAGCCTGTAAAAGTACACAAAAGTAATGCGAAAGTAATGTCATTACTTTTAAAAGTAATTTGTAATGGTAATTAATTACTTTCCGGCTGTGGTAATTTGTAATGTAATTTAATTACATTTCAGAAATTTTCAGCAAAGTAATTAGTAATGTAATTTAATTACAAAATATGAGTAATTTGGCCAGCTCTGCTATTGAGCGGGGTGCGTCTGTGTTAACTTTGAGTGAAGCGGGTGTATGAAGAGGTGCAATGGTACACCATCGAATGGGGTGCATTTGTGTTCCCTTTGAGTGAAGCGGGTGTAGAAAGAGGTTTAGCCGTACACCATCGAATGGGGTGCACCTGTGTTCCCTTCGAGCGAGATTTCTGTAGAAAAAGGTGTACATGTGCACCACACCAACGGGTGTGCACGTGCTCCCATATTTGGGGTGCACTTGTATTCCCCCAAAGGGTGTAGTATATGTGACAAGCACTTACACCCCCTATGGGTGTACCCCTTGACACCCTTTTTTTTTTAGAGTGTAGGGACACGCGCCACGAACTTCAAGCTACGTTTATCCAGGACAAGCATTATTTGAAGCTGACTTTTTTGCCTCGAAATTTACGCCGTGAGAAAACACTTTAAAAAAGCAGGTGATCACGTGCCTAAGTAAACTTTTGCTACACTCTACATGCATGCTTTCAGGGACATGTTCGCGACATTGGCGGTTGTTGCTCTCCTGGTGCTGCAAGCAGCAACCGAGCCCCCCGAAGACCCGAAGTGCCAGTATGCGTGGGCATCCCTCGGAACGTCTGGAAATGACCTTCATATCCATGATGGCAAACCCGGTCAAGGAGCCGTCGCCTGGGGAACCTTCCAGAATGATGTTCATTTCAGCGGGTATAACAACTTTTTCATGCTGCTTGTTGACACGAACCATTTTGCTCCCCTTGTAGTAGAAAACTCCCAGTGACTAACTTTTTCCTGTTGCTTAAACGCATCGTTACATGGCTGTAAAATCCTGGAGTTGTTGGCTTTTCGAAAATTGCGTGAGTCTATTTATAGTCGGCAGTTTCCAAACTAACTGATGGAGTATATCGGACATCCTTTATGTTGATTTGGATAAGTGTCGTCTAATTGACCGGGAACTTCACAACATATAGTGGACGATAGTACTTAAGATTTCATATTTACTGGTATCTTGGTGTCTGCTTTCTTTACAGATTGATATAGAGCTGCTCATTCGTTTAGAGGAACAGTTTCGATGATTTTTTTTTGCATATTATGATGAGAAATTTAGCCAGTTTCAGAAGCAATCACTGAGCCACAGAACGGGCAATTGATATTGTGCACTCTTAGAAATAGAAGGTGTATAGGGTACACCCCTTGTCTCATATGTAGCACCCCAAAACTACATTCGGACGTTCAGTCCACTGACGTCGAGCTGGCGATACCAACTTTTACGAGCGGCTTGATAGCTGTTGGATATAACTACACTCTAAAAAAAAAAGAGGGAGGAGAAATGGAGAAAAAAGTGAAGTTCCTCCCTGTCGCCTACGGAAAGGAGGAAATTTCACCCGTTCCTCCATTTCACCGATTTAGATGCAGCGCAACCTGGTGGTGCTTTAAAAAGGGACAACACTTCCTCCCCCATGTTCGCGGCGGCAGTGGCGGTCGAACGGCCGCCGCGAACATGTTCAATGGCAGTGACGGCAACTTGAGGGCTTGGCTAGCGTCACCTAGAGCAGTCCCACTACTGCCCATGCGCGGCGCTAGGAGAAAAAAAAAACAACAAAAAAACGGAGCTGCGGGGGATAAACAAAATACACTAGTTTAACAAGAAAAAAAAAAAAGCGACGCCCGTAGTGCGGCGTGTGTTTCGCGAGAATCACACCGTATATGCCCGCTTCGAGATCGGGCTTGTTCATGGTGGAGGAAACCTTGCTGCTGCGATAAGTACAGGTGGTGGCTTATCACTGGAATGGGAAGTACGACCACTTTCGTCGCGTTACTTCCTACGTGACAAGTAGATATAGTAACCCTGGAGCGAGGGAACAAAAAAAAAAGGACGGAAAGACACGAAACTATATCTATCTTTAACCAGCTCGCCTGCCTATTTGCTTTCACTTTGATAACAAGTAGGGCACACAAAAACCAAATCGCCATGATCTTAATTTTGTTTTTTGTTTTTGCGTGATCGCTGTTTTATTTGAGTCGGCACGTCTCTACGTTTTTAGCCCCGTCACCTCCGCGAGTAACATATACTCTTGAAATAAAACGTACGTCCCATACAGCGAAAGGTAATCAGTGCGAAGTTTATTTCAGTTCTGTGTAAAACAGAACAGCATATCCAGTCGATAGGAACGAGCACTGCGTTGCGGCGAGCGACTGCGTCCGACACACGCTGTAGTCCGTGAACATCGGGACCTCAACCGGCTTGCGGAAACACGCGTTTTTTTTTTTTTTTTTAACCATAGCCCCGCACAAGAAATGACACTGAAATGACGATTAGGCGAAGGAACGAAGCAACGGATCCGGGAAAAAAGGTCAACTATTCATTCAAGAGTCCACTTGTAAAAAAAGGTAGTACAGAAATTCCATTCTGGTTGTGGGGCGAAGTGGGGGAGGGAGGCCGGATCCGCGGTCTTGAAGGAACGATGATTCACCACAGCGGACGGCTCACCGCCGCTCTTTTAGTTTGTGCGGCATCTCCTGCTACTGTGTGCTACATAGCAAATAACGCACTCGCAAGAAAAGAAATAATAATAATGAAGTGAAAGAAGAACGCCGTTGCACTTTTTTTTTTTTATGCAGACGACTTAGTCCATTATCGCGCGGTTTCCCTTGTGCCCCGAAAAGAGCGCAGCTGTAGTGCACGACCAAGCCGACCCGGCGTCAACAACGTGGATCTCAAGTCTACTTGTTGCAAATGTACTGGGCGTACTTTTAAAAGAAGCAAGGATTAACATAAGCTTACTCGATAATAAATTAGGGTTCTATTTAGATAGTGACATGTATGGAAAATTACTAACAATTGCTGTACAAACTTCTATTTTAGCTTTAAGGCCCGTTCGCACTCTTGCGACTGCTTGCGACCTCTTAAACCTGGGTTCCTTAAAACTTCTTAAACCAGAGAACACACTGGCGCCATCTATTGGGAAGCAGTGTAAACTCGGCGGTCCGGCATATTTTTTTTTTATTTCTCGCGCATTATCCTTTCTTTTTTGGCTCGAAAAACTTTTGTCAATGTTATAAACGAGCCTTTCTATGGTTATTACGCACATTTGACCTCGGAAATCCCGCAAAACCTTCGCTCTTGTGAAATGCAGTTCCAGGGTCACCGCATAGATGGCGCCACAATACCAGTGTGTTCCCTCATTCTAAAAACATTTAAGAAGTTGTAAGAGATCCTCGTCTCTCTCAGTCGTACTCGGTCGTACTCGGTCGCAAGAGTGTGAACGGGCCTTTAGTGTCGGAAATAGCTGCAATGCGTTAGCTCTCGTAACGTCATATTCTGCTACGTTTTGCAAGCGTTCTCTAAACCATGAAATCGCGGCTCCGCTACGGTATATATAGCGGAGGCCATACCCATAACGGATTGCTTATAGAGTTGCGGAAGTGACTGATCGATCTAAAACTCCCAATACGGGTTTTTTAACTTTCTGACTTGGGCAACGTGATGTTTTCAAGCGGTTGCATTATATCACCAAAGACAGTTTCATTTGAGCTGTCTGCTGCAATACCAAACTCGTGGTTCGGGGGTCCTTATCACTCCCGGCAGTTGCTTTTTGTAGGAAAAATGCTCCAGGTTAGAATATTAAAACAATATTAAATTTCTCTAATACGGGCAACAAAGCGTGACCCAAGATATATTTCTCTGCTGTTGCAACGAGTCTTGTTAAAACCAGTAATATTTTTTGGTTGAAAAATTCATTGAAATACTTGTGCAACAAATAAAATTAATTATTACCCCACCGAAACTGAAACTAGATTACACTTGCACTGAACACTCCGATCAAGCAATGGCTTGGTTGCAAATTTCAGCACCAGTGTACTGCATTTCAACACTGCATTGCCAACATGATTTTTCGAACTTATTAAAAAGATAATGATTAAATTTTAGTTAATTAGCCTAATGATCTACATTTGCTTTGATCAGGGTATTGAATTAAGAGATGGGGCTATTCCAAGAGACAATTGAAATAATGTATCAAGCATGAGTAATATTTGCTCCGTCTTTCGTGTTTATGCGGCAAATGATGGCAGTCACCGGCCAAGTCGGATACAAAAATAAGACTGCCATACATAGAAAGAGTGCGAACTGAGCGTAGGTGGAGAGGTTGTGGGGTATGCGGTGTGCGGCTTGTGTTTTGTATATGTATGTATGTATGTACGGTATTTACCATGTAGCGTTCAAGAGTCAAAGGACGTTAAAAAGCAAATGGGGCTTCACCAACATTTTTTTTTCTGTATTGAGCGCCATCTGGTGGAGCTATATGAATTGCACGAGGGCAGAAAGTTTCCTCCATTGGACGAAAACAGGTGGCAATTTGCCTCCCTTAGGGGAGGAACGTTTTCTCCACGAGCAAAAATAGGTGGCAACTTCCCTCCCTTCTTAGGGGTAGGAAATTTCCTCCCCGTTTTGTAAGAGGAAATTTATTCCCTTTGTAGAGAAATATATGATACACGCGAGTTCCTCCTTTAAGGAGGCAAGCACTACTCGCTTTCTTTAGTGTGTAGAAAAACTAAAACACAGGTTTTCCAGCAGGGCCAAAAAAATATTAATTGTATTACTGTAGCCTTTAATGCGTACTGTACATTACCTATCTTAATAAGTTGTATCGGTCGACTATCAAGCCGCTCTTCAAAGTTGGTAGCGTTGGTTTTTTACTATTTTAAATGCAACTTCGTTGCGTATCTTGACTACTTTCGGAAATATGCATGAGTGCCATTATTTTTTCCCCCTTTTTAAGCAATGCGTTCGAAAAATATTTTTCTTTTTATTTCATTTCCTGAATAGTTTTGTTTTTTGAAATATTCGTACTGTTTAGATAACGTACGTAGGGTTTGATAAGACACAACCTAAAGATGTCTTGAAAACGAAAAAAAATATATTCATATTGCCATGAAAAAACTAGAAATAGCTCAAAATGTTACGTGTATCACTTCGCTGAATAACGTTATGCATATTTATATGCAAACGACATACATTTGTCGAAATTACTTGTAATCTAGAATATTCTTCAGCAATTAAGTTTTGTTTAAACATAAATAGTTTTCACATTTCACGAGTTCAAAATTCTATATACCATGTACGTACACCTAACACTACCCTTGGTAAAAAAGCAATACAATAAAACTATATCTTTATGTCCTTAGTGGATATACTAAAACATACATTTTTGATTTTTTATGAAACAAAAAAGTATATTATTAGAATACTGAAAGTATACTATACTCGTTCTCACCTCAAGAACCGTTGTATAAAAAATCCGACTCCCCACGGAACAATATTAATTTCCATTTTTATGTAGAGAATTAAGGTATATGTGGGTGAATTTCTTCGATTCCATATATGCTTCAAACACTAAAATCATCGCTTTTCCTCCCACAACCAAATATATTTAAGAACAACTTCGCACGACGTATGAACACTGCGCGAAACATCCTTTCTTCTTGAGGTGAAAAGGAGTATACACTCATACTATAAGTTCACATTTTAGTACACCAGATGTACACAGTTAGTACTGTTAAACGTACTAAAATCACTCTTCTAAAAAACTTAAATCATAATAAGATGTATACTTTATGGGTACTTGATTTACGTTAAGAGTGTAGTTTATGTTCTGGCCTCTCACCGGCCGGTGAACAGCGGCTCGCCGGCTGTCAGTGGGCAGATA